TATCGAAATAGTAACCCGTCGTCGTTCGATCGAGGTCGAACTCTTCTTTTTGGCGAAGGCCCCTGGCCTTAAAGGATGTTATTTCGAACTTATCGAAATAGTAACCCGTCGTCGTTCGATCGAGGTCGAACTCTTCTTTTTGGCGAAGGCCCCTGGCCTTAAAGGATGTTATTTCGAACTTATCGAAATAGTAACCCATCGTTATTCGATCGAGGTCGAACTCTTATGTTTGGCGAAGGCCCCTGGCCTTAAAGGGCATTATTTCGAACTTATCGAAATAGTAACCCATCGTCGTTCGATCGAGGTTGAATTCTCCGATTTGGCGAAGGCCCCTAGCCTTAAATTTTGTTATTTTGAAATTATCGAAATAGTAACCAATCGTCATTCTATCGAGGTCGAATTCTTCTGTTTGGCGAAGGCCCCTGGCCATAAAGGGTGTTATTCGAACTTATCAAAGTAGTAACCCGTCGTCGTTCGATCAAGGTCGAATTCTTCTATTTGGCGTAGGCCCCTGGCTTTAAAGGGTGTTATTTCGAACTTATCGAAATAGTAACCCATCGTCATTCGATCGAGGTCGAATTCTTCTATTTGGCGAAGGCCCCTGGCTTTAAAGGGTGTTATTTCGAACTTATCAAAATAGTAACCCGTCGTCATTCGATCGAGGTCAAATTCTTCTGTTTGGCGAAGGCCCCTAGCCTTCAAGGGTGCTATTTTGAACTTATCAAAATAGTAACCCGTCGTCATTCGATCGAGGTCAAATTCTTCTGTTTGGCGAAGGCCCCTAGCCTTCAAGGGTGCTATTTTGAACTTATCAAAATAGTAACCCGTCGTCGTTTGATCGAGGTCGAACTCTTCTGTTTGGCGAAGGCCCCTGGCTTTAAAGGGTGTTATTTCGAACTTATCGAAATAGTAACCCGTCGTCGTTCGATCGAGGTTGAACTCTTCTTTTTGGCGAAGGCTCCTGGCCTTAAAGGGTGTTATTTCGTACTTATCGAAATAGTAACCCGTCGTCGTTCGATCGAGGTTGAACTCTTCTTTTTGGCGAAGGCTCCTGGCCTTAAAGGGTGTTATTTCGTACTTATCGAAATAGTAACCCGTCGTCGTTCGATCGAGGTCGAATTCTTCTGTTTGGCGAAGGCCATTGGCCTTGAAGAGTGTTATTTCGAACTTATCAAAATAGTAACAAGTCGTCGTTCGATCGAGGTCGAATTCTTCTGTTTGGCAAAGGCCCCTGGCCTTAAAGGGTATTATTTCGAACTTATCAAAATAGTAACCCATCGTGAGTCCCAGTTTTTGGAGAGCCAGATATCTTGCGGGAGAGTACCAGTCCGTTTGGCAGTGCTCGCAACGGAGGGTGCAACGTTGGAGAATGTGGAACGTTGCTGTTTCGCTTATGTTCGCTCTGCACATGGATTGTAGTTCCCTTGTCTGGCTCCTGTCTTCCAGTTCGGAGGTATCGCTGGTGGGAGGTATCACAGTTGTTTTACAGTGGTTTTTCGTTCTGTAATTGAGGTGTTTCTTTATTTGTTCGCCTGTGCGGCCGTTGTGTTCTTACTTGAGCAGAGATTAGGAGACGAGTTAGAATGAAACTTTTCTTGCCCCCGTCCGGTGGTCCCATGGGAGAGAACTGATTGGTAACATCGTTCGCCTTGTTTGGCGTATCAATGGTAGATGGGGCGAAGGTTTCTCAGCTTGATAATTTCGCTCGGCTCTCCTTCCCCTGTTTCGTTGCTCCTTTGTCTTGTGTGGGTTGCATTTTTCCTTCGCGCTCCTTTTGGTGAGCGATTGTATTTCTTGTCTTTGATCTGGGAGAAACTAGGAAATTTCACTAAGAAATCCCCACAGACGACGCCAAATTATTTGATTCAAAAGATGTTAAAACCTTTTTGAACAAATCAATCAAAGATGAAGGGGTAAATCTTAGTCAGATATAATAAATTCCAGATCAAAGAACTAGCAGTGTGGATCATACTTAGGATGAAGGAAACATAAATGATCTTATTGATGTTTGACATTGTATCTCCCATCAATCGATGAGGAGACCGTTTTACATGTTTTCCTAGAGGTTCACTCTCTTCAATCAAGAAAACTCGAAGAGAGCTTTTCAGCTTTTTAAGGAGATAGGAGAAGTGGCCTCCTTGTTGAAAGCTTTCCCTAACTATATATAGTCATGACACCCTTGCCTTTTGCTCGGCTCGTCGTCCTCTTGCCCCCAATGTGTCTTAGTCGTGCTTTTAGACACCGCTCTTACCAACTCGTCGGATGTCAGGGAGGAGATATAGAGTGGGCTATATTAACTTTCGCTGCCCAGTTACTTAGGCGGGACATCATCAACTTGATCGCGACGGTCAGATTTTGACCAATACAAAAATATTTCAAACATATCGTATATTCGCCTTTTCTTCTCTCTACACAACGTTTTTTTTTTACATATTTCTAACGAAACCAATGAACCTCCGGATTAAATTTAATTTGAAACATGGAGTATATAGTAGAATGATAATGGTCAAATTAAAATATTCATCTAATTAAAGAGCTGAAATAGTCTTCTTCTTCACCATTGGAGCCACACCTTCCTGATCTCCCTTCTCCAACATGATTCCTCCGTATCATTTCCTACTACGAAGCACGACTAGCCACTGATTTTTATCTTATTGCTCTTATTTTCTTTTTTGAAAACAGAAAATTTCTCTCGACACCTACAAATCACCATGACCATGGCCATTGACCCCCCTCTCTTCAATAACATAACTTCATCAAATTAAAACAACTACAAACAGAATACTGTACACAAATTTCACAGAGAACTTTAAAAATACACCCAGCAATAAAGAAAGAAAAATGCAAAGAAGAATTTTCATCTCATCACACTTTTAAATTTTTATTTTACTTTCGTAATTGTTGAAGAATTCTCGTTGTTCTCTTTGGGCTGGTGGTGATGTAAGATTTGTTGGTTTATTTCCAAAATACTAACTGGTACTTCCATTATAAGTAGACCCAGAAGCGTTTTTTGCAATTAATTGTTTGATTTTCCATTACAGATTCAATATTCTTCACCGAGTTAGAAAATAAAAACTTTGACCAATATCTATGGAACTTGGCCATAATTCGGCGGATGACACGTGACGATCTCGACGAGAATAATCTCCGATATGGTCTAAGAAGTCTTTAAAAAAAGGAAAATCATTCTGGGAAAGAAGACCAATGGAGAAAAAAAATCATGAACTAACAAAATAAACTACAAATTAATTGAGATTTGAAAACAACTACGTAATTTTCTAGGAAGAAGAAGATGAACAGGGGAGTAGAGTGGGAAAAACCAGAGTTGCGTTCTCTTTTTTAATATTATTTTTTTTCTAAAAAAGAAATTGCCTTAAAGTCTTTTGGGGAAAGAGCCACATGTCTATTTTCCTTGGTTTTGCCACATCACCAGAGGGTGAATTACATGCATTTTATTTTCTGGATTGCTTCAGCTTCTAGTGTCTAATAGGCATAATTTGAATAGAGATTGAGTGCTCAATTGGTCATGAGGTTAGTTTAAGTGTGTAGATGGAAAAAAAGTCCAAGTTTAGGGGGCCTGCTTATGTATTCTGCCTTTCCTTTTTATATTGGCAAAATCCTCTTTCATCCTATTCTTTTCTGGTGTCCTCCTTTCTTATTTTCTTTTCGTATTGGAAAAATTCTTTTTTTCTTTTTCCTTTTTAGGATTCAAGTTTGGCTATTGCACATATTATTTTAACATGTTACAGATTTGGTTGGTGATACTTATATATTTTTAAAGTATAGTATATGTGACAAACCATATACCATATATTAATGGTATATATCGAATACATCACATCTATATAAAGTTTTAACTTTATGTATGATATCTTTTCTTTACATGCTCTCTCTATATATATATGCAATTTATATATTTGGTATAGTATATGTATAGATAGTAAATATGATATAATATTTACAATCTATAAAACTGATACAGTATAGAATATTGGTAATGTTAAAGGTACATATAGCACTTTTGGTCTAGCAATATAGAATAAAATTGACACAGTACAATTTTCTTTTCTTTTTTAAAGAGAAGGGTCTGGTGGGTCGGGTCGGTAAATTATTTTAGAGGGCGTTTTTACTCTTTTAAATGGTTGGGCTGAAAAGAAAAATACAAATATCCCCTAAAAGCATAAAGTGACTCTTTAGTTACAAAAGGCAAAATTGGGTGACGCTTCAGTAACAAAACAAAATAAAGTGACTTTACTAACCAATTTCCGTTAGTTCAATGTCCTTTGACAAATAAGTCGCATATGTAAACCAGACAACACAACCTTTAAGAGGATTCATAACTTTAAGCTTTAAGACATAGACTATATCTTAGAGTATGCTCTGACAAATGTTGAGTAGGATTCAGACCGAAAGTAAGATGTAATACATAGACAAAATGTTGAGCATGATCGACAAATGTATTTCTTCCAGATTCATGAAATAATATGGGGTGAATATTTGTTTATAGGTCGGTGACATGTTCATTTTGGTATGAATATCCTTAAAATTTCTGAAACAAAAAATATCTAACATTGATCGACCGTTAATGATGAAAGATTTAAATGAAGTAGATACAATTTAGGTAAGTATCTTATCTTCAGTCATTTGGGGATAAAGGAGTTAAATACATTATGTGTTGCTTAACTTGGCTAATTGAGTTGCTGGGAATGATACATTTTGTGTTATTCGTGTTAGCACGTTTGTGTATACATTTGGTGGACTTTGGGACTGATTCAGACGTGGTTGGGGTTGAAATAGGAGTAATTACATGGGAAAGGAAAACCCCAGCGATTGAATAAAGAAGAGTGTTGTGATGAACCTTTCGAATACTAATGATTAATAATAGTGTCTAAGAGTTAGCGGAAAGTGGAAACAAATAGTATTAAGTTAAACTCTAGATAATTCTAAGAAAAAATTTCGGCAATAGATTAACCATGGTATAAATTTATAATTAGAAGCAGTAAACAACAAAAAAGAAGTATTTCAATATGCAAAGGTACGCATTACAAGTGGAATCCGCAGGTCTAATTGAAATGGAATTTCTTCACAACAAAAGGCAAAAAAGTTGCAAGTTATCTGATAAAACTCAGTTAAGCAGCACAAGGATATCATAGTACAAACATTCCTGTACAGTTCTGTGTCAGCTTAAATATGGGTCGAGTTCTTATGTATGGACAGCATTCACTTCACTTAATAATCCTCAAGAAAGTTTGGAAGAGTAAATATACTCATCCATCAAAAATAGAGGACCAAGATGCAGAATAGACCATCAAAACATTATCTCCACCAGCCAAACAGTCGATACAAATATATTCTCCTCAGTCTTCTATTGTATGCCATGAAGGCCCTGGCTTTGACGGGGTCCTCATTCAAAGACTCGAAAGCATACATTTGCTTTGCTTCTTCCAGACCCTCGATTTCCATCACAGCTTGCAAAAGAGCAGGGGTGTCAATGGTGTACTTGCTTTGCTCAATTGTGTCAGCCAAGTGGCGGATGCTTGAGGCTATTGCTAACATTGCATCTTGAAGAGTCTCTGAGCTACGAGTCCGTTCTGCAGCTTGCCTCTCAGTTTGAGCCTCGGGCTCATCTTCATCTTCATTATTAGCAGCCATTTCGGTATATACTGGTTCTTTGGCAGATGACTGTGTCTCGGTTCCATCTGAATCGTTCATATGCTCTGAACTTGCTGAAAGATATGAACCAGATTCTTGTTCGTACTTGCACTCTATCACTGGATTTCCATTCACATTGGCTGACATTCTACTCCAGCGAGTAGGAGCTTGATAATTTCCACATACAATTTTCATTTCTTCATACATGGCTATCTGCTTTCCTC